AGGGGCTGATGTTCAGGCTGGCGGGAGTGGAGCGGAGCCTTGACCTGCTTGAGTTTAAAAGTGAAAGCCGAGGTTGAAGTGTGTGGTTATTTCATCCTACTTCCCATCTGGAGCGAGTTGGTATTTTGCTTTGCACCTCTCCAAATGCATGTGGCCTGTGTGAGACTTCCCGGAGCTGGGTGAGTCCCTGGCGTGGGTTGGGTTTGGGAGCGGTGCTGCCGGAGCAGCAGTGAGAGCTGTTTGCAGCTGATCTTAGCTCAAGGATCTGCGTGGACTAACAAGCAGACCAGAGCGAGTAAAGTACTTAAGAGCAGAAGTTCTCACTTTTGAGATCTTCCTACTTTAAGTGCTTGTGACTTTAAATTGGTTATTGGACTGCTGGCAAATACTTGTGATTTAAAGTGTTGCTTTCTGGAGCTTAGAAGGGTGTGCAAGATCATAATGAACTCCCTTAATCAGCATTTACATTTTTTATAGCAGTGTAATTCCTAAGTGCTTGTTGAAATGCATGAGGACTGTTGTATCTCCCATTAATCATCTATCTGTGTCCTAGTTACTTCTCTGTAAATGGATTTTTAAATATTTTTTTTAAAGACAGATTTAACAAAATAATCTGTTTTGGGAATAGAAGCCAACTTTATTGTGGAACTAATTTGAATATTTATTTAATTTATAAATAATCTGCATCACCTGCTATTCTACATTGAAATGCTTCCTACCTCAGTCAGTATCCTTAGACTAAAGGTGACAGAGGAGGGTGTTCAGCTCTGGAAATGTGCTTGGGAGCATTAGTAGGGTCATGAATTGCCTCCCTTCGGCTGTTGTGAATGTCGTTGTGATAAAGCTACGGTAAGCCAGATCACTGGTCTTTACAGAGTGGTGCTGATGGCAGAGCAGTCTCTTCCTTTTCACACCTGAAGAGAGCAGAACGTGCTAGAGGCTCAAGAACAGGCGAAAAACTGTAAGTGTAGCCATAACTAGTAGTGAGGTGTTGAAAGCCCAAGTGAAACCAGCTATTTTGCTGCTGCTGCTGCTAAAGTTCAGAGTTGGTTTTGGTATTTTCGAGTTAGCGATCTATCAAAATAGTTTAGAGCACACCTATCTAGTCCATATTCTGCTCTGTTTGACCAGTACTTTTACCAACGTGCCTAGCAGCAACTGCTCAATTAAGAAGAGAAAGCCGGTTGCCTAAAGCCAGTTTATTATATAGTTGTTGGAGATGTAACCAGGCATAAATGTTTGAGGCAATGCCATTTCTCTTGAGACGTTTACAAGATATTTCATGATGCAGAGGTAGCTGGTTCGTGGCCGCGTTGAGATACAGTTGGCAACTTTTGCTTCTCCTGTGTGCAGAACAAAGTATCTGGCAGGGTTCTCTCTTGGAGCTTGCAGGATTTGTGTAGCACCCTCGGGGTTCCCCAGAATTTTAGGTCTTAGAGGGAAAAGGGGAACAACAACAACAGAGTTGGAAACCAGGAAAAAAATGTCTTTCAATTTAAAACAAAATGTAGAACCTGCAAAAAGCGGTTGATTCTGACAAAGGCAGATATGGGACATCATAAACCTAATTGTGTGGAAAATCTACTCAGTGTTCTCTAGGGATCACAAGCACATGATTTTGCTTTTAAAGAGTTGATGTATTTAAGCTTACAGGAACTGAAATTTCCACTGAGTCTAGAAAAATAGATGGAAGCTTTAGATAACACAATTATAACAACATTCTTGCTACACTGCTTGTCACTCTACCGTCCCAAATAAAAACAAATGAGCTCTGTTCATTCTCCCTCTCTGAGCTCCAGTGTAGGGTTTGCTGTTGGAGAGCGCGATAAATTTGTCAGGATTACCAATTCAGTGCGAGGTTCTGGAAAAAAAAATTGAGTAGACAAGAGAAAAAAGAGAATAGGAGGAAAGATGAACAGCTAAAAGAGTGTTTGAGCCCTAGAGTATAGGGACTGGTAACGGTACGTTGGTTTATATATAGACATTTAAGTTAGGTAACTTGATCAAGTGGCTAGAGGAGAGAGAAATCCCACAGCTGAGGAAGAATCTCTTTGGACGTGACTATGGAATATAACAAGTGGATGAAGGGAGGAGGGAAACCTTTGCAGAACTAGAGACAGAAGCTCTGGAGGTGTCTGCCAAAGGTTAAGAGGTCTCCCTTCATCCCTCTTGAAGTTCTGGGAGCCTCCTTCAGGCAGATGGTTTCAGATTTGGTTCCAGCCGCTTGCGATTTGTGAACTCCTTTGTATTCTCCTCAGTGATGAGCTGCTTATTAGTAGCGTTGCTGTCAGTGAGGTACAGGCGATGCTCTCACATCCGTTGTGGTGAGCACATGAAGAGTTTCAGTTTTAGAAGGAGGAAAGAAAAAAAAAAATACAGTCCATTCTGTGTTCACAGCCGTGACTGCCCCGAACACGTGGGGCTGCTGAGCTGGTTGCCTGCAGGCTGGCTTGGAGCAGGGGCGTACCGATAGGGCTGTGCTTTACTTGAATAGTAAACAGGGCGATGGAATGTTTGAATGGGTTCTGAACTGGCTTTTAGAAGTGCTCACATGGGAAGTTTTAATGCTGATATTTGTCTTCCACAAGATTTTCTGTCTGATTCACCACACTCTCTACTTAGGAATTCTGCGGAGCGTTTGTTTTGCACCTCAAACTTTCACTGAAAGACTTTTGCCTTGCTCTCTCCACAGACTGTGCTACGACTCCACTGTCCCAGTTTCCTTCCTGGCCCTTTCCTTCCCTTCCCAGTCCTCCCTCTCTTTATGACTTGAAAATCTGTTAGTGCTGTCTCTTCACTGATGTGCCAAGAAAGACAGAAGAGAAATCCTGCATTTTTCCTGAGCAGTAGAAAGTGCGCCTTGACTGTGAATACAGATCCACTGTTCTCTGGGTTGATTTTCAACAAGAATTATTGCACAAAATCAGTCTTGAAAAGTTCCCTTTGGCCCTATGCATGTAAACAAGGTACATAGGAGGACTGCCCTAACGAGTCGGTCCAGAAAGTCCAACCTTTGTGTTTCAAAGAGGTGAAATAATAAGACTGATCTAAGGAAGGGATCCATGTCTTCCTGCAGCTTTAGTTCCTCCCTCCCGCAGTTGTGAGTTTTTTGAGTGCTTCTTTGCTTACCTGCTGGTTTGTGGGAAGGGTTTGGGTGAAACTTGGATAAAATGGCTTAAGTTTTCTTGTTTTCTTCCCAGCCTGTGCCAACAGCGCTGGCTCAGGTTGACCGGGAAAAGATCTATCAGTGGATCAACGAGCTGTCCAGCCCCGAGACGCGGGAGAACGCGCTGCTAGAGCTGAGCAAGAAGCGTGAGTCTGTGCCTGACCTTGCCCCGATGCTGTGGCACTCGTTCGGTACAATTGCAGCCCTCCTGCAGGTAAGTAGGGCTGATGGTGACTTTATTCCACACATTTTTATTCCAGCACATTGCAAACGTCTTGTGTCCGTGGGGCAGAGCTGGGGAAGCTCCGATGGGGTCACTTATTGCCATCGCTGGGCGTATGATGTTTGTATTGTGCAGTGAGGGGAGCAGATGTGGGAAACCCATTTACCATTATCTCTAGCAAAGCGATGTGTGCAGAAACTTAAGTTTTCTGATTAACTTATGTAGTTGGAAGGGGAACAGGCAAGTTCTTGGTTGTATGAGTTCCCTGTGGATCACGTTGTGCTTATTTTCATGCAATGTCGTAGCAGAAAAATGACAGTGTTAATGTTTTGTTTTGTGTGAGCTTGAGCACTCCCTGGCTACACTCGCAGGGAGCCTCCTGAAAGCGGCATGGGAGTGCTGCTCACTGCTTCAGAGATCCTTGCAAGGGAATGTCCCTGCATTTCACATGAAAATGAGTGGCTCAGCTTGTCCCTGGGCAAGCTACAGCTGACAACTGGCTGTCTCTCAGTGCTAAATCTAGTCAAAGCAGGAAAGAAGAGGATTCAGTATTGACAATGTCTAACTGTTCTTGGAGTGGCCCTGAAACAAGTGAAGAAAATTAGAAGGGAACTCCAGTTGGAAGCAGGCAGATTTCTGAGCCTGATTTCTCCCTCTCAGCTGCTTACCCTGCATTGAATTAGAAGAGCACCGACAGCTACAAATGAAGAGAGTGGATGTGCTCTCCTCTAGGCACAGGAGCAGCACTCCTCTTCAGTTTAGAAGTTCAAAACAAAGCAGTCCCTACGCTAGTAAAGAGACAGAAAATCAAATAAACCCCTTTTCACTAAAATTAAAGTTTGAATGCATTTTGGTGAAATTACCTTGTCAAATTAACTCGGATCCAGCTCTGCCCTTGCCTCGTGGCCATCATGTAACTTCAAAGTGATGCTTGATGAGAGCAGACTGTCATCTCCTGTTACCAGAGTTGGGCAAATGCTTTGATGCAGCTTTCTGGTGTTTTTCTTCTTTTAACTTTTCTTCATCTCTTATTTTTTAGGAAATTGTAAATATTTATCCATCAATCAACCCTCCAACTTTGACAGCCCATCAGTCCAACAGAGTCTGCAACGCTTTGGCTCTACTACAGTGTGTTGCATCGCATCCTGAAACGAGGTCGGTGTTTCCAAGTGTGCGAGTTTTCTGAGGTGTTGATGTCAATGGCTCACCCTGTCTTTTGGATTCCAGAAGCACTAAGCTCCCTTTTTTTTTCCTACGAAGAGGAATGAGCTTGGAAGATAGGCAACTGCCTGCTGCTTTCACTTATTTGCACAGATTATCAGGATGACAGCTTTGTGGTAGTCCCAAAATGCATTGCATTCCCTGGATCATCCCTAGATCCTGCAAATTCTCAAAACACTGGGTTGTGGCAGCTCCTGGGAGCTCAGCCAGAGATAAGGGTGCCTTTGTGCTCAGTGCTGTCTACAAGATCCTTGTTTTAATGAGCTTACAGTTATTTAGACCAGCAGTTTTCAGTTATTTAGACCAGCTGTCCAAAGGGTGGAATGAGCAGCACTGTCCTTCTCAGAAACAGTGTGTGGCAAAGGAGCAATAGCAAAGCGATGTCTGGAGTCATCAGCCAGTGCCTGGCTTCAGGTTTTCTCAGTCTATGTCCAGCTCATGTCAGTGGGGGAAAAGATGATGTTGGTTCAGGCAAAATCAGTAGCTAAAATTCAGAAGAAAGCTACCCAGGGATCTGTGATCGCAAGTTTCTGTTCCTGCCAAGAAGAAAGTGCTGCCTAGCTGAAGTTGGTTTTTGGCTGCTGCAAAGTAGTGTTAAACAGCAACCCTACGTGAGATGATGTTCAAAGAAATAGCGTAGTTTTACACCACATACCTTTACATTTAAAGTTTGAAAACTGAAAACAAAGGAAGAGTGTTGGATGATTGTGCAAGGGAGCTGCTGTCTGCTAGCAGAGTAGTCTCCAGGTTTCTGCCATTTCTGATTTTCACCATTGTCAGAAGGCAGTGGGAGGACTCTTGGGGAAAGGTGTCGGACTGTTTAGACTGTGGTAGTGCTTAGAGATTAACCAGTCTGGATTTATGTTATGCAGATGCTTTGCACATGCATTGTGGTGGATTGTCCCTGGCCATGGGAGCCTGCAAGGTGAAATGCAACAGTGAATGTGCAAAGGAGAGGATCTGGGTGTCAGAAAGAGGTAATAAAAACAGCGGGATATGCTCTGCTCCTGGTCAGTTGGAAGGAGTAACGCAGGTAACTGACAGAGCAGGTGTTAGGCATTTTGTACCCAGAATTCATTCTCTGATGGAAAGATATGAAGCAAACTGATACTTTCGAGGAGCAGCAGCAATGGTGTCCATCAGGAAACAGTCTGAAGCTCTGCATGGTCATGTTGGATTGTGTACTGGCTCTGTTTTCCTTGTCTCTCAAGCTGGATGTTCTCCCTTTACTGCAGGTCAGCTTTTCTGGCAGCTCATATCCCGCTTTTCCTGTACCCCTTCTTGCACACGGTCAGCAAGACACGTCCATTCGAGTACCTGCGGCTCACGAGCCTCGGGGTGATTGGTAAGCAGCCAGAGTAACGCTGGAGCACTGGTTTCTTCTCAAGTTGGATGCAGTTTGTGCTGTGGCTATAGAGATCTGCACAACCAAAATGACAGATCTCTCTGTATTGGGATCTTCTGAGTCCTGTGGTATTAACAGGAGGAGCTGCTCCTTTTCCGTCAGTTGTGAAGGTCGATTCCTCTTGATGTGTGGGACCTGGGCTTTTCACTAATAAGAAAACAGTGAAGTCGCAAAAAATGTTTCCTGCAAGTAGAAGCACTTGCAGGCCTGTTGTGCCTTCACCCTCAGCCCAGCCAGGTAGACTCTGGATGGGTGGTTGCACACTGGGCTGGCTTTGAGTTTTTGTCATTGACTTGGGTGTGTTTGCCTTGTCTTCCCCATACCTTTTTTTTCCCCTTTCTTTCTGCCCAAAACATTTCTCTTTCAATGCATGAAGTAAGAGGGTTTTTAAATGCATTTCTTCCCAGGGTTTGGTGTGGGTGGCATGATCCTTTTGTGTTTGTGTTACCACTGGGGGAGAACCAAGAATGCATCCTCTTTCTGTTAGAAAAAACAGTCCCCAAACAATTTCTCATTTATTGATTTTTGGTTTTATTTTTCCTTCAAGGGGCCTTGGTGAAAACTGATGAGCAAGAGGTGATAAATTTCTTACTGACAACAGAAATTATCCCCCTCTGCTTACGCATTATGGAGTCTGGCAGTGAACTCTCCAAAACGGTACGTACTCTTTTTGTCTTAATTAAGACATGTTGTTTATTTCTGATTGACCAGGCAGCCAGTAACCTGCAGAGATGGTTTGTGTCCTACTGCAAATGCTGGGGAAATTCCAAGTGGAGTTTTCACCTCTTCAAAAAAAATCCCCATGAAACTAAGCTGGAGGTTCTGAGCTTGGTAGTTTTGCTGGGAACGATCTTGCTGCTCTCAGTGCCCGTTTCCTCCCTTGCAGCCCTGCAGAGTAACTCTCAGGGCTGAGCTGGATCAACTTTCTTTAGCCTGAGAGAGCAAATGCTGTAGCTACGCCATGCAAAGGTTGGATGGCAGTTGTTAATGGTGGTCACGGGAACGTTCACCACACTGGACCAGTTTGTTGTCCCCTCTGATGAGGGGCTCCTTTCCCCCCTGAGCTCAGATCTGTGGTCAGACTGGCCTGATGACCCAGCTAGGCTGGCCACAGGTTTTAGTCTGTGTGTGCTTTTCTGGTGAATCTACTGATTCTTCCAGAAAGCCATGTGTCTCGTGATGAATTGGTAAAATTCAAGATGAAAATTGAAATCAGCTTGCCATCTAGATGGCAGGGCCAAGGGACTGATCCTTCCCCTGTTTCCTGCTCTGTGTCAGAGTAGTGAGGCTGTCCTGAGCAGCTCAGCAGTAGTTGCTGTCTCCTGTAACCTGCATCCAGTCATCTCGTCCGCGCTGCTTTGTGTCCTTCTCTTTAGCCAGAGATGCCAAGTCCTGAGTTTTCTTCTGGCTTTAAACTTTCACTGAGGAAAGCATTTGTTGCCTGCTGAAAGACCTTTCAGCCCTCAAATTGTCTTGAAAAGAACACAGCACAAAGACTGTCCCTTTTTGGCATAGATAAGTTGTTTATGTTTTGTGTTTTTTCCCCTGCTTTTACCCCGTTCTAGGTTGCTACATTTATTCTTCAGAAAATCCTCCTGGATGACACAGGGCTAGCATATATCTGTCAGACTTATGAGCGGTTTTCCCATGTTGCCATGATATTGGTAAGATTATTTGTTTCCTCTCTTTAAAAAAAGAAAAAAAATATGCTCCAGCAGCCAGCTTCTTCAGCAGCTGTTTTACTGCTCTGTGGATGGAGGCAAGTTTTTCTTGGGCTTATTATTTGAGACTCTGCAGTTCTCCACTTCCACATGTTTCTTGTGTACATCTCTGGTTTGTATGTCAAGAGAACATAATATCCCCAAGACAAACCAGGTAAACATCTCTGGAGAAGATAAGGAGTTTTGTATTGGATATGAATTGATTTGATTTTATATAGGAACAGTCACAGCGCTTGGATCATTTCCCATCTCTGTCTCCCACAGTGGGTTCAAAGAGCAGCAACTTGAGCAAAGGAGTAAGAGCAGGGCAAGCATATATGATACTTGGCCTCATGTCTCACAGCTGCCAGGTATATTCAGCTTTGGATTTCTGGGGCTGGTTGGGGGTTTTCTATGCAGTAACCCCCGTTGTTTGTCCCATCCACCCCTTGAACCCATGGAAACTTTTTTTTTGCCTTCATGGTGTCCTTTACCAAGGAGTTTCACAGGTTTCCTGTTCGCTGCCTGAAACCTCCTTTTTAAAAGCTTTTTTAACTTGTCGAACCTGGCTCCTACTAGTTGCTGCTTATGACTCTAGTTCTTGTGTTGGAACACAGAGGGAGCAATTTTTATCCATTCCCTGTCCCCGATGAGGGAGAAGTTACACATAATTTGTTCAACCCAGGAGTAATAACCCCAACTTGAGCTTTATTATCTTGGAGCTCCCTGAGGGGAATACATGTCTGCCCTGGCAGAGCTATTGTTGCTTTTTAAAGAGCAGTCTCAGGAGAAGAAAATGCAGCATTAAGTGCTTTGCAATGCTAGTTCTATGCCTAAATGTTGATGCTTTCCTTGTGAATATTTATTTGTCTGTCTGTTTTCCCAGGCGTAAAAAAAAAAAAAAAAATTCCTCCTAATGCACCTACAGATGGCACAATATGAATGATTTTGAGCTGATGTCCGTAGTACCCAGTGTGATGCGATTTTTGTATTCAAGCTTTGGTGAAAGTGCTTTGATGAAGGCTTGGGGGCAAAGTGAAGGACACAATTAGAAACCCTAGAGTAGGGAAGAAGACCAGGGAAGAATCTGTAGCTGGGAAGGATCTGGACATGGAAGCATGTGGGCATGTAAAACTGTGTTAACTGGAGAAAAAATCCTAGCTGTGCTATAATCCCGCAACTGGGTGAAGCGCTGACATGATTAATATTCCATAATGCCATGGAGAAAGGTGGAAATGTTCATAGACACTTCTGTTCTCTGATCTGAAAATTTGGAATTGTGTACCCCTGTCTCATGAGGGTGATGATTTACTTCCCTGTCTCCTGGTAGCTGAGGGAGATATTACACAACTATTAGATGCTTGAGCAAGTTAGTATTTCCTGTCCACGAGGGGTCTGAAGAACTCTCTGACTTGTCATTCTTTATATTTCAAATAAATATTGGTACCCTGGAGAATTGATAAGAACAGGAAGCTTGCAAAAGGGTAGATGAGGGGAACCTGCTGTCACGACCAGATAATGTGACCCCTGGTCTCTCTCCGGACTGCAGCTTAGCCTTGGGATACCTGCAGGAAAAATCAGAGGTGCAACCACACGGACAATTGAAAAATGCAAACTGTTTATTGAGCAATGAGGAATGGGAGTGTGAAAACTTATTTGGTATTAAAGGGAAGTAGAATGATAAAGAGAAAGGAGAGAGAAGAGAGGAAAGGAGATAGAAAGATGGCCACAGCAGTGTCCTGTGACTCGGTAATTCACTTTTTATAGAGTTTGGAAAACCTAACCCCTTTTAAAGGTGGAGTCTGCATTAATTTCTACGCAGGCGCTGTGGCATCTTCTAGAGGGTTCTCCAAATGACTTGGAAGGGTTGTCTGGGGGAGTTTCTGGTGCTCAGGTGCCCCTCTAACGTGTCTGACCATAGTTTCACCTTCCTTTGAGCATGTACGATTTGACTTGATTGCTTTGCTCCTTTGGTTCAAGGGGAAGCTCTCACATTGCTCCGTTTTTGTGGCACAAACAAGCGGTTTATGGTTAAGAATGGAACATACAAGGGGGAAGTCAGAAGTGGTCCACTGTCCCACCTCTGCAGGGCCTGTCCTCTCTCTGGGGTTTCCCATCAATGAGCTTCTTTAAGCACTAAATATAAGTGGTAAAACAGATATTTTGTGAAAAAGCAAACACTTGTTTAAAGGACTCTGGCTGTTTGCTGCCTTCTTTAGTCTCTCCCACCTGCTAAGTGCTAACTGCCAATACAGGCTGTATTATATACATACGTGAGAGACCTTTCAGCTTGTTTATTTATATATATATAAAAATAGAGGTGGATTTGGTTATGAGGAAAATGGTTAGTGCTAGCCAGTGTAGCTAGCTGTAGCCCCCTGTAGTTTTACAGGGGAAGGAAACCCAATCTGTTGGGTAGATTGTTCTTTTTATTTCAAACAAACATTGGTGTCCTGGGGAATTACCCCATATACAGGAGGAAGCAGAATGTTAATCTCCTTCAGAGCAGCCACGCTGTTGGCCAGGCTGGGTGCGTACAAAGGTGCAAAGTCCCTCATAGTGTGAGAAGTGGAGGCTGAGACAGGGTCTTACTTCCCAGTAATGGCTTTAATGAGGGGATGCAGCAGAAACAGAAAATACAACTCGTAGGTGCATGGCAAGACCAGACATGGATCTTAGCATATGTGGTAGGAGTGAGCCCAGTCCTTCAGCGGGGCTTCCTGCACTGTTGTTGAAATGAAAAGTGTGGAGAACAGGGAGTGCTGCAGACCTTGGGAACACACCTCACAGCGTGACTCAGCCTGAGCTTGTCAAAGAATTTGGGATCCTCCACGAGAGTGAAACTCTGGGTTCTCTTTAATCTAATGAAGACTCGGAGCATAAAGCAGTCCTGGGGAGGTAAAATCCAAATAGAGGCGAGACAGAATTCTGCAGGGAGAATCCTTTCCAAGACATGGCTAGCTGCTCTTCTCAGGCTTCTTGTCAAGCAGAGCGCTGGGCTCCATGCAGGGCTGGCTAAATGAAGGGTAATGGGCTGGGATGCGTGGGAAGCCAGAGGGAGTGGTCTTTCCCAGTCCCTGCTGATGGTGAAGCTGTTCTTACAAAGACTTTAACTGGTGATGCTGGCCTCTGTCAAACAGGGTAAAATGGTCCTGCAGCTCTCCAAGGAGCCATCGGCGCGGCTACTGAAACATGTCGTCCGCTGCTACCTTCGCCTTTCCGATAACCCCAGGTAAACATTTTAGGAGTTTGGGCAGGGGCTTCTCCCACTCCCTCGGAAGTGCAAATCTCCACAGTGCCCAGCCTGGGGAGGGTCAAGGTTGCTCGTCTGTCCTTATGTCAATCCTAGCTCAGTGTGGAAAATGGGTGGGCTTTTTGGTTGGTTTGGGTTTTTTTCATTACTAGTCCCAGGAGCTTTTGTGGTGGATACAGTGAGTGGGGCTTGTGCAGATTGGAGCTGTGCGGGTTATGACTGCCTGAGCTCACATGGAGCTTTAATTAATGTCCTGGTTTGAGCTGAACACAACCAATTCTGTTCAGTGATTTTACTTTTCAGCTTAGGGCAAATAAGACTGTTAAAGGATGAGCGAGCCTTGCTGCTCCCTCTGTGGCTCCCTGGTGTATTGCCACTCATCACAATGTTATTGGTCCCACGCATTTGTCAGCGTTTAGTGGCCGGCCCAGCCCTTACCTTCAACAACTAGGTACAAGGGAGGGCCTGGGGCAAGGTGCGCTGTGCTCTCCCTCTTCTGCATCATGTGGGCTGTTCACAAGAGAAGCCAACAGTTGAGGAAATACGAACTGATTTTGTGCAGGGCGGTTGGACCTTTAAAGGTCCCTTCCAACCCAGCCCATTCTACAGTTCTATGATAATCAGCAACTCTGCCCAAACTCATGTTTGTTGTCTCAGCCTCTTCTGGCGTTGCTCTTGACTGACGGGTATCAGGGCACAGGGGTTGGCTCGATGGGCTCTGGCGTGAGGAATGGGAGCTGTGCTGGCCGACTGAGCACCACATGCTACAATGGTGCTGCTCGGTGCTTTCCTGGGCTGGCTCTCCGGGGAGACCCCCCCCAGGTGAAGGAGCGCCCAGTCCCCAGGGGGTTTTGCTCCCCTCTTGCCCCTGTGAGTTTATTTGTTGGGCCCCGTTTCTTGTCTCTTGATGTAGGGCACGTGAAGCTCTCAGGCAGTGCCTTCCTGACCAGCTGAAGGACACCACCTTCGCCCAGGTCCTCAAGGATGACACCACCACAAAGCGCTGGCTGGCTCAGCTCGTGAAGAACCTGCAAGAGGGTCAAGTCACTGACCCACGGGGCATCCCCCTTCCTCCGCAATGACTGCTGGGGGAGGTGGGGGACTGGGGAAGAAACAGCTCAGGTTTACAAAGAACCAGGAACAGGTGACCTCTTCCGCAAGAAACGGCGTGCCAGCTGGCTGCTGGCCTGTCGGATCATCCCACCCAGCCTAAGGGCTGCTCTGTAGCAATGCAGCACCGCCTCCAGGGATTGCAACACCAGCAAATGCTGATACTACAGCTTAGGGGGAAAAAAAAAAATCAATAAAAATAATCTGTAAAGATCCCCATCCCTCTGGGAGGCTTGGCTGGCATCTCCCTGCCTGGCGGCGGGGGGAGCGCTGATGTCTGCTCTTGTAGCTGGCTCAGCCTCCACCCAGGCGGTGCGTGACACAGGGGTGTGCGTGCCACATCCCTCCAATTCCTTGTGACTTCGGGTTTACACATCTGTTTAGATGAGTGAGCTGAATAAAAGCCAATCCAGTTGTTTTATCCTGTCTTAAGACTGCAGGTTAGCCCAGGGACAGCTTTCTTCCCTGCCAGCACATCCTTGCTCCTGGCTCTACACCCAGCTGGTGCAGCGAGTGTCTCTCCCTTTTCTTGGGCATGGAGGCAGCGGCCACTAACTGCTTGCGGTGAACCCATGCATCCTAAGATTTATTCCTGGGGCTTTGGGGGAGGAGAAGACAAGGATTGTGTCTGTTGTACTGTAAATAATTCGCTCCTGTAGCTAACCAGGGGCCAGGAACTGACCTCCCATCTAGCCCAGCTTTTGCCTGCCAGGGCTCAGGCTGGCTGGTTGAATGGAGCTCGGCACTAGGAACCCTGCCCTGGGGCGGTGGGCAGGCTGCCGACCAGTGGTCCCCCAGTGTGGGACAACGCAGCAACATCTTGTGGGCTCCAGGTACTCCAGCTGCTGCCTCTCAGTCCTGGCTCTGCTCCCTCACCCCCTCCTGCAGCTCATCTCGGCCAGCTGGGTGCATCCATTTCAGCTTTCAGACCTGCCTTGGCGCCTGCCTCAGCCCCCACCGCAATTAAACTGGACCAGCAGCTGCTTACCTGCCTTCCCCGCGCCGAGGGGTCACTGCGGTGGCGACAGGCTCCGGGAAGCAGTCGAGGAGCTCCAGGGCTCTGCCGCAGCGGAGCCTGTTCTTGGCTGCAGGCGAGCCCCGGGCAGCTACTCCATTT